GAATACTGGAGTGTGTTGCCATTTCCTCCTCCAGGGGATCTTCTCAATCCAGGGATCAAATGTCTTCTGCATCTCCTGGTAGGCAGATTAATTACCTCTGAGACACCTGAGAGGCCCATGTCTTAGCTTGGGACCCCCTAGAAGTAGACTCTAAATCAAGGCTGGTTGAGCACAAGTAGGTAAGTTGGAAGATGATTCCAGAAACACACCAGGAGAGTGGGGAATGGAGGTGCATTGGTCCCACTCCTCAAGAAACAAACTCCACATTACTATTAAACATGAACAATTTGATGAGGGAAAAGACCACTGTGGAGGAAAATAGAGGGTGGTCTGGAAGCTATAGACCACAATGCAAGTCTGATCACAATGCAAGAGTGAGGGTGGGAAGTTTGGTGCTTTTTGGGTCCAAAAATGTTTTTCAGGGCATCTTTGAATAACAGTTGGCCATCAGTTAGGTTCCCTGATCTTCCAAGAGATGTTACCATCCCCAACACACTCTGTTCCCAGCTGGGAAGAGGGAGGCTTGCTGTTGCCCAAATTCCGTGATGATTTCCAGAGCACAACAGCTGCGTCTCTCCCTGTAGCTGGGGTCAGCCAGTTTCCCCAAGGCTACCACATGCGACACAGAAAGTGAAAGTTGCTCAGTCATGTCTGACTCTTTGCAACCCCATGGACTATAATACATACCATGAAATTCTCCAGGCCAGAATACTGAAGTGGGTAGCCTTCCCCTTCTCCAGGGGATCTTCCCGACCCAGGAATCGAACCGGGGTCTCCTGCATTGCAGGCGGATTTTTTACCAACTGAGCTATGAGGGCAGGAGGGACCTTGTTAATCAACTATCCACATGGGCAGTGGGGGCCGTGAGAGACAGAGTTATCTGATCCCAGGTTGAGGGCTGGGGAATTTGTCTTCCAAGCCCCACTGTTACGCTGGTGAGGATGACTAGCAACAATATGAAATCCACAGCACATCCAGCCTGCCACGCACCAATCAGACTGCACAGAAAGCCCTCGGACCATCGACACAGGCCCTTGTCACTGGAAGTTGGGCTGGGAGGGACAGGAATGGCCATGTGGGTGTGGACAGAGCGCCAACAGAGCCTCTGCCACCGCTCAAGGGATGGGGCCACCAGTGGAGATCTGCCAGTCCCACTGTGGATCCCTCCCTCCAGCATCAAGGCCGCTGAGAAAGACTCCAAAGACACAGCATAGTCAGGATTTGCTATCGTGGAAGCTTCAACAGAGTGAAAACACTGTGGGCTTCCCCTACTCCTGGGTTTCCCCGATGGCTCAGCCGGTAAACAATCTGTGTGCAATGAAGGAGATGCAGGATACTCAGGTTCGATTCCTGGGTGGGGGAAGGTCCTCTGGAGAAGGGAAGGACAACCCACTCCAGTATTCTTGCCTGGAGAATCCCACGGACAGAGGAGCCTGGTGGGCTACAGTCCATGGGGTCACAGAGAGTCAGAGTGACTAACACTTTAATCTTCTTCACTGCCCATTATGAGCTTTTAATAGCCCTTTTTTACTTTCTTTACAAAATAAATTGAAGAGAGTATTTAAAGGTTACATAATCAGGCAGTCACTTGGGAAGACCGAATCGACTTAAGTAAGGAAACAAGGTTGTTGTTCAGTCGCTAAGTCAGACTCTGCAGCTCCATGACCTGCAGCACACCAAGCTCCTCTGTCCCAGGAAACCAGGTGCAAGACAGCGAAGTGTTGAATAAGAGCGGAGCTAGAGCTGCAAGAAGCCCCAGGAACCAAGGGAGCCGAGGTGGGGTGGGTAACAGGCATCATGGGGAGCAGGCATTAGGACAGGAGTCTCTCACTGAAGAAGAAAATATTCTGTAGAACAGTGTTTAGAACAGCCTTCTAATTGGTGGTCATTGTTTGCAAACCACAAACCTGGACTAATTGGCAGCCTGGGGCTTTAAATCAACTGGCTTTAATCAGGGCTGAAAGTACCAAAGCAATCAACACGATAGATTCTTCTGGACTGACTTCCAAAGGAAGAGATGATGGACCTGCAGATCGATGACGATCCCTTAAGGCTCCTAGGAGGACAGGGCTTTCACACTCTGTGCCGAGAGCTGCTGGAGATTTTCTCAGGGCATTCCAGAATTTAGGAGCATTCCAGAATACCCTTGATGCCAGAGTGAGCAACATGTGCCTGGTGCCGTGTTCCTCAGAAACCTCAGCTCCATGGAGTGCCCACAGAAAGTTCAGGAGGTGTTCAGGAAATATTAGTGAATGTTGATGCGAAATTGATCGTGGAAGTGGTAGGTGGCATCATAGGAAAACTTCCCCTTCGCAGAGTGTATTTTTCTCAGTCTTCCTTCTAGACCAACGAGAAGGAATGACTTTCAGGAAAACTTAATTCACTCTTCTCCCAGATCCAGAGCTAGAGGCGAGACAGTCAGCGTGTAGCCCCATGTTCAAAATGTCCCTGGTTTTAACTTCTGCCACCTTCTGCAGTAAAGGCTGGATGCCAGTTTGCATCACAGGTGGATAAACTAAAGCTATCCCACTTTTCTGACTATAGATAGAAATTTTCACCAAATATAATGGACAAAATGTAACTTCATTTTGTTTTTATTCTATATTTTGCTTAGCATGGTGTGAAGAGTAGGCAACTAAAAAATAGAAATTGATAAACTTGAAATCGCACCATCAGAAACACAGAAGGGCCACTAAAACTTGATACAAAAACTCCCAGGATTGGTGGCCTGATAGTGACGTCACAGCTTCTCCACTTGAGCAAGTGTGCGCCTCAGACAGTCGCTCTTCCTTTCAGATATTGAATATCAGCACTCATTTGTTTCTGAATTCCCAATTTAAGTTATACAAGAAGCAAAACATAAAACCGTTAAGCAAGGAAACAACAGCCAAATGCATCTGATAATGTGAGGCTGTGTTTAACTTTGTAAAACCTACGTCATGTTTGAGTTGTCCTGGGTACTGACTGACTCCTGGCAGGAAGGCCATTGCTAAGTATGGACCAACGGTCAGGATTTTACCTTGGAGAACTCCTCTCCTGCGTTTGCTCCAACTTGAGGGCCACTGAGAAGACGCTTGGTGAACTTGGAAGACAGCAACCACACTACAGAGTAGCAAGTCCACAGTGCACATGTGTCCAGAGAGGAAGGCAGTCGTGGGGAGTCTGGGGAGTGGGCAGTGATGAAAGAATTAGGAAACTCCTGCTTACTTGCTTCTTCAAGCCTGACATAGCATGATCTGCTGTGTCATATCGCTTATTCAGGACTGAAAAATGATGAAGAATACAGCCAGATCTGTAAGCTCCAAATTTTACTATACAACAAGTATGATTCATTAGTATGGCTGGTCACACTGCAGTGAATTTTCTAGCCTTCGTATTAATCACTAAAAAATAATGATGTGCACTCATACGTGGGGTCTAAAACATGACACAAAGGAACCTACCTATGAAACAGAAATAGACTCACAGACACAGAGAACAGATCTGTGATCGCTGAGGGGGAGATGAGGGAAAGGGAAGGACTGGAGTTTGAGATCAGCAGATGCAAATTAATATATAGAGAACAGACAACAAGGTCCTACTGAATAAGACAGGGAGCTACATTCAATAGCCTGTGATAAACCATAATGGAACAGAATACAGAAAGGATACAACTTTACTGCACAGTACACATTAACAGAACACTGTAAACCAACTAACTATATGTCAATAAAATTTTTTTTAAAAAAGTGATGTGGGTTAAAGAAGACTGCTTTGGAAGTGCCTCCCAATGATCCCATTGGAAGCATCATGTCTATGCTTCCAATGGAAAGGGCAGATCACAATCTGAAGTTACGCCAAAAACAGAAGAGATTTTCTAATGTCACCTAATAAACTCAGTTATTTAACTAAAGGCATTTCTGAGCACTGTAAAAGTTACCATCTGGGTTTTTCTTGCTGCTCAGAGTATAGTATGCAAGAAGGAGAGATAAACTGAGGCAAGAATTAGTAAGCCAAAAGAAAACAGGAGACCCCTGAGACTAAGAAAATATACTCAGAGACTTCTGGCTTTATCCCCAACATGGAAAGAACTTAGAAACCACTGCACCCATCCTTACAAGAGAAACCTGAAGACACTGAAAAGCGAAGATGCTTCTTGGACCCAGAAGAGAGTGGCAGTGCCACGGCACAGGGCTTCCCAGGACTCTGCAGACATGAGGGAATCCAGGAGGTGGGGCTGAGATCTGTATCCTTGGAGAAAAAGCCCTGGAGACACAAAACCAGGGGACACTCAGTGCAAATCTGGGTGAATTTCTAGAGGCTGAGAGTGAAGCAGTGTGGGGGCAGGAAATTCCGAGTTGGCCTCGGGGTACCACCCACTTGTGGATTTTACCTCCAGAAAAGAGCATCAGTGTCTATAAGTTGTGTATCCATCCCTGGGTTGAGAAGATCCCCTGGAGAAGGGAATGACAACCCACTCCAGTATTCTTGCCTGGAGAATCCCATGGACAGAGGAAACTGGCGAAGTGGAGTCCATCGTGTCACAAACAGTCCAACACAACTGAAGTGACATAGTATGCAGTGAACATCACCCAACACCTGAGACAGAAATCTCCTTTTTACTCAAGGGTACCATGTGGAGATGGGCTTTGGAAGCACCCCCACCTGGATACACCTAATAGACGAAACTTCACATTTGGCTAAATAAATAATATGGCTGTATCCTAATGGCCCACCGTTCAGACTTGGGATTCTAAAATGTTGCAATGCAGTCTTCATAGAGCAGTTGCTCTTTCCTGATATATATCTTTTTTTTTTTTTTATATATCTCAAGGGTGGATTTTCCACCTCTCCTCGAATGCTGCCTAATTAGATCGCGACTTTCCGAGAGTCAAAAAAAAAAAAAAGAAGAAGAGAAGAAAATACAAAGAAAAGCCTTGGGGACCTGCAAATACTTGCACTGCATTGAGAAGTGGATGCACTCTGCCGCCCTCCCCCCAAGCCCGCACGGGTCACCGCAGACCCCCGCCCCGCGCAGCGCGTGTCCGGAGCTGTGGCTGGGGCGGACTCTGCCAGGGAGCCCGGTCCCGTCCCAGCTCCCCCTCCGCTGCCTCGGCTTCCTCGCCTTCCTCTGGCAGAGGCGCCTGGCAGAGCCTCGCGTGCCACCTCCCGACCACCCCGGGAAGCTTTGGCGATTGCACCCGGGACAGGAGCGACAGGAGAGAGCGGGCGCGCCCCGCCCCTCGAGTGGCCCTTCTCAGTCTCCCCCGCGCCGGCCGGGCAGGTGCGGGTGCGCACGGATTGCGGCTCCAGCCCCGGCGTAGGAGGGCGGGGAGGGGTGTGCTAAGGTCGGCGCAGGAGCCTCGCGCGGACCCGTGCGCCACGCGCCTCGCAGCGGCGACTCAGCTCCCGGGGCTCGTGGGGGCGCCGTGTTCTAGAGCTTCGGCGGCTCTCCGCTGCCCCTCTCTCAGGCCAGGGCCGGTCCTGCCTGCCCCCGCCCCGCCACCTCCCACACACATACCTCCTCGCCTCTCCCCAGAGCTCCTTTAGGATCTGCTGGCGCTCAGGTCCGGACAGTCCTGGACTGCTTCCCGGAGAAGGCAGCCCCGGGCACAGCGCCCTCGGAGCCGCCGGCGCCGGCCCGGCTCCCTCTGGGATCCCAGCAGCTGCTTCTCCTTCTTCGGCTCCGGGACTCGCAGGGCTCAGCCTCCCTGGACGAGGGGTCCCTCGGAAACCTGCCGCGTTGGGGACGCCGCCCGGACACAGCTGGACTGCCAGGACCCACCTCGCCTCCGGGAGACGCGCCCCTCGCCACCCTCCAGGCGCCGCGGAACTTGGAGAGGTTCTAGAGCATCGGCTCCCAAGTTCCTCCGGACATGAATCAGACAGCGGGAGCCTCCAACAACGTCAGGTGTCCCCCGGGGGGGAAAAGCCACAAGGTAAGAGACCCACGACGGCGGGGCTGGCGCGGGACCTGGCGAGCAGGTGGCGGCTGCAGTTGGCGGGCGAGTGGACGCGCGCTGGTTTGCAGATTCCGAGCCGCCGACCCCTCCTCCGCCGGGGAGGGGGTCCTTGAGTACAGTCGGTGGACGCGGCGCGGGGAGGATTGGGAGGATGGACGGTGTTTAGTCGACCCCGGGCCGACGCCAGGCTCTGCAGGTGCCCCTGCTCAGGGCTGCCCGGGGCTCGGCAGGCCAGCTCGCTGGCAGAAACCGCCGTTTCCCGGGATTACCGGGTTTTCAGGAAGCCGGAGAGGTCGGCGAGGGTTGGGGAGGCAGGGCCTGTGACCCCCTGGGCCGGAGCTTCCCCTTCAGGGCTTGGCCAGGGCACACGCTCTGGTTGGTGTCAGAGACACGTGCTTAATTAACTTGAATGGGCCGGTGCGTGCCTGGGATGATTTCCAGGAAATGACTGATGTTCGGAGAAAAGGGGGCGGGCCCGGACCCGAGGAGCCTCCAGAACCTCTCGAGTAGCCCAGAGCCAGAGGGACATGCCTCGGGGAGCGTCCCTTTCTGCGCGCAGAGGAGCGGATCCCTGCAGAGGTCTGGGTTCCACCGCGGTCAGGTGCCCCGCGCAGCCTTACCTGGCCATGGTCAGTGGTGCTCTTCGCCGCCTTGCATGTCTGTCCTCGCCTCGGGTTGTGTTGGTTTGCAGGGAAATTCCTTATCTGGGTTCCGCAGAGAAGCTGTGCAGGAGTCTGTGTATCAGATGTGCTTTAAGAATATTTTGGAATATTGCTAATTTTTTTTAAATGGGAAGAAGGCAAGGACTTTAGATCTTAGAGCTGACGTGTAGCCGGAATCTGTGCGCTGAGCTTTGGTCTTGTGTTTGCTCCACCTGGTTTTGCTTCTACCTTGTTCTAGGCAGAGAGCAGCATGTGTGTTTATGAGTGTGTTATTAAGAGATGGTTCCCACTAACATCTCTTTATTGTGGTTTGGTTGTATGTGAAGTTGGAGGGAGTAACGACATTAGATTCATCTGGTGGATAAAGGGACTCTTGGTCTGTTGAGTTACATAAGATAGGGATTTAGGACTGAATACTTTTATTTCAATTAAGGGATAACCAGCATTTTCTACACCATTCGGGCCTGGGTGAAACATATGAATCAGCAAGTCATATCTTGATTTCTGTTCTCATTAACTATGATTCAGGTAGTTACACTTTTCAATATATTTAATATCCTTAGGAAATGGGATAGCTGGTATTATAAGCCTTTTTATGAAAAAATAAGAAAGTTTAATTCATCAGTGACTATGTAATAGAGACATTCAGAAGATCATTCGGTAATTTCTTTTTAAAAAAATGCCTTCAGTTCCAATGGTAAAGTGGCTTCTTGGCAATACTGCAGGGTATTGACACTTATAAAACTTTGCAGGAAGTGTTCAAACACACAGCAACAATTTAGAAGGTACTAGAAATCCGTTAGTCATAAGTTAGGCATCTCCCTGTCCCTCTAGCAGGCGTCTAACAAATGCTTTGTCCCTATTAATTCAATAAACAGTTATCATCAGTCATTTGTACAGTGGCAAACTCCAGCTAAGTTCCATGAACCCAAATATGAGTTTAGAGATCTTCACTATCTAGAACACAGCTCTAGTCATAACCACTTTTCATGCTTTAGAGTCTTTGATGGTCCCCACTGCCTAACATGACATTATGATTATCCATCCACTGGGGAGGGGAAAAAAATTCCAGTTCTCTTCCTCCAAGAAGAATTCAGTTAAACTGTAGTTTGCCTCTGCCGTTTGTAGATTGTATAATCGCTGGTGGCTTGTCTTGAAGGTTGCGGCAGTGAAAGGCAGGGCTCGGATGGAGTATTGGTGAATGTTCTGAAGAGAATGAGGGGCACATAGAGAACAGGGGTTGGCAGTCGACGCTGGAAAGTCCTGGACAGACGACAGGAGACTCAACAGTTATTATAAAACATCAAACACTAACATCGGTTTGTTTAGTTGTAGGTTTGAAGTGAGTTTGTTTCCGTTTTCTGTGCTGCTGGGGGATCATCTCCTTCGACTTCTTGGGAGGAAGAGCCTCAAGCTCTCGGGCAGGCTCTTCTGTTGGACTGCGCTTTGTGTCGTCCATTTACTGATTACTGTCACCGTCATTGCTACTTGGCTGTTTGTTTCTGTCTTCCTCTTTTAAGGGGTTGAGTTTAGCCAGACTGAGATGTGTTATTTACCTCCAGGTTCCTTCTCAAAGGCTGACCCCCCAGAACTGCGAAAAGAAAGGTCCTTTTTGTAGCTTCCTTGCTCCTGACTGGGGGTGGGGGGGTGGTCATCGACGTGTGCGAATAGCTGCTAAGGACCCCAGAGGGGACCAGTCCGACAGCCATCCCTGGTCTGGGCAGGAGCCAGTGGTCCTGAGGAGGGAGCTCTAGGAGTGCCGGTCACCTGGGACGGGGAAAGGAAAAGGTGCCCATGGGATGGCGCGTCTCACCCACCCCAGGCTGGTCTGGTGCTGGGCCCCATGAGCATATCCATCAAGCACCTGGCAAGCACCAGTCAACAGCTAGGGTTGTTCTAAATGCTTGTGGGAGGCCTGACATTTGGGTGCAGCCCACAGACCCATAGAGCAGCCTACTTGGGGTGGTTCTGCAGGGGCGGGGCTCTGCATCCATGGGGCGGGGCTTGGTGACTTCCACCAGCTCTATTCGGATACTTTTTGGAAAGTCACTAACTTCCAGACTCTTTTGCCTTTTTTTTTTTTTTAAAGATACAAGTGGTATACACTTTATGATGCTAATTACATAGAAATACACATGAAGAGAAAAGACAGTCAGGAACTCTACCAAACTGGTAACCATGATCAGCTCAAAACCAGGAGGCAGAGTGATTCTTACTCAATACTCATAATGTACTGTGGATTTTTTTTTTTGAGTGCTGAATGAACATATTTTGCAGTAGTATTACTAAGTGGTGTGCACATGTAAAATGTTGGTTTTGAAAACTTATATACCCATTGCAGCAGCCTTTCTGGCAGCAGGGACCGGTTTCTTGGAAGACAGTTTTTCCAGGTATGGGGGTGGGTGATGGTTTCAGCATGATTCTGGTGCATTGCATTTATTGTGCACTGTATCTCTATTATTATCACATTAGCACCACATCAAATCCAGAGACTGGAGATGCCTGTACCATTGTACAAGGGACTTATCAAACTCCAGTATAACCTCTATGGAAGAAAGAGCTGCAGCTTTATTATTTACACAAGATATTGCATCTCTTTCTCATTGTCTAAAGGATACTAAAGTCTTCTGTGGTAAAAGGGGAGGTTACTGATAAGTTTCAGTGTTGCAGAATGGACAACTTAAACTTTAACATGCAGTTTTTCAACTATATTCCAAAATTATTCTGCAATTTGTTGTTTAAAATTTTTTCCCTCGTTTTAACTTCTCACTTCACAGCACTAATTACTGATCCTTTTCATCACTGCTGTTTGAAACACAAGAAGAGCGGTACCTAGACGTGCCTGCTCGATGCTGGGTGAGCGTCTTTAGGCCTGTAGGGCAGCCTCGCATTCTGTTTTCTGACCTTCTCACTGGAATATTACATTTCCAATGTCATGAATATTTAAAGGAAAATAAATTTTATGTTGGAAACATTTTATTGACACGAACTAGATACAGTGCTGTATCTAAAGCCCTAATCTTGATTACTTTGTGCTGGGCAATGCTGTAATTGTTGAGGGAGGTTATCAAGAGGATGTGACTTCTGGTTCCACTGCAGTGGAACCCCCAGCCCAGCCCGCCCCCCACCCCGCATTCCCACAGTGGGAGCCTTTTCAAAGATGCAGGCTTGAGAGAGTGAGGGGATTTCGAGACCACCTGGCCTGAATGATTGGACCCAGTAAGGCCTCTCTGTAAGTCTGAAGATGCTGGTGGGCGGGTGTAGAGATCCTGCTGGTCTTAGGGTCACCCAAGCTCTAAGTCCCCTTGCTTATTAAAACTGCCACCTGCTGATCTGAAGTGACCTGCCTCTTTCTGGGGTCCCTCCCCGCCGTCCATGTACAGGAGCAGGTTTCAGGTTACACCCCCCAAAGTTGCTGAGAGTTTGAACCAACAATAATCCGAGCATGAAATGTTTCTTTTTGATGAACTTAACTTCTTACTTCCCATCCACATCTTCTTTCTACTCCTAGTGCTTACTTCATGGCAAGACAGGGATGGCAAAGATGTGGCCTGTGGGTTTAGTTCGGCTTGGGTCTTTGTCACCTTCCCTTTAGGGCATTAGAAAAAAAAAAAAAAGACTCAGCTGAAAGTATTTTAGTTCAATAGGAATGCATTTTGCATAATTATGCTAGCTAGAGCCAACCTGCACTTTTACTTTGTCTTTAGTCTTAAAAATATTTTCTGCTGGTTATAGAATTCTGAGTGGGTAAGATTTTGGTTTCTCTTCAGCACTTTGAAGGTGGCGTTAGCTGAATTCTGGTCTCACTTTTTTTCTACTGAGACGTGACTAGTCATTTGATTCATTGGTGTCTGGGTGTAAGGTGCCGTTTTTATGTCTGCTGTCAGGATTTTCTCTCTCTCTCGGGTTTTCAGTGTTTGGGTGTTACGTGCCCGGGCATGATTCCCCTCCTATGTGTCTTGCCACGGGGTCATAGATCATCTGGAATGTTTAAATTCACCACATTTGGGAATATCGCAGCCATTGTTTCTTGGGGTGTTTTTTTTTTTCTTCTTTTGTCTGTCCTATTCTTAATTTGTTGGGATGGCAATTACACGTATGTTAGACACTTTGTCTCATTCTGCAGATGTTCGTTTTTACTCTCTCATCTTCAGATGCAGTCGCTTCGTTTGCTGTTTCCACTCTGTCCCCTGTGTTCCCCATGTGACTGCATTTTCAGTGGTTTACTCCAGATGCTGTGTTCTCCATTCTAGAATCCCCCCTTTCTTCTGTTTCCCTGGCTTAGATTTGCTGTCTCTTCATTTGCTGTGTGAGGGCCATTTTCCTTTAATTAATGGGCCTCATGATAATCTCAGCTTTAAAATCCTGCTTTCTAGCATCTGGGTTGTCTTGGGACTGATCTGTGTTGCTTGTGCTGCTTCGTTGAGGATGGGTAATGTTTTTGTGTTTCTTTTTATGTTGAGTCACTTTCAATTTTAGCTTGACCTTGTGAATGTTGGGTGGAGACGCTGGATTCTCCCTAAAGTGGGCAATTCAGTGAATAGCGAGTTACCTGTATTGTGCTCTGTTACCG